GGCTCAAGAGGAGCAGGACCTGAGGCAGGGCGTGGATTCAGCATCCCACAGCARCCTCCTCCGGCCCATTTGCAGTCTCTACCTCGATTCCACATCCTCATTTGCGGAGGGTGACTCCAGGATGTGCCTGTCCTCCCGTAGCTTGATTAGGGCCAGGCACAAAGRTAGGGGGCAGTGAGGATGGATCCGCCATTGTTGGTCCAGGTGGCTGGTTGCTGTGAAGGGCAACCTAGGTAACACGGGTGGGGCAGAGTGGGTCTCAGGGGAGGGTCGGCCTTCAGTGGGCCAGAGGCATTGAGCACCCTGGGTGTGGAGCCTTCTGCAGCACAGTTGGCCTGGAGGCCTCTGCAGTCACGGGTGATAGAGGAAGGGCATCAGACCATATCCCCAGGACAGGTATTGTAACAGGGCTCTGCAAGGTGAGGGGAGGTGGACTTAGATTGGGGGATTGAGGAGGGTTCTGAATGGATGTGGCACTGGGTCCAGGAAGTTTGGGCTTGATTTCAGCAAGTGGAGATTTAGAGGAGAAAATAGAAATAGGCAGGAGGCAAAACACAGGACTTACTGGGGGACTTTCAGATGATCTGTCCTCTGATGGGGAGACTGAGAATGTCCTGTTAGCAGTAGAGAAGGATCTGSGGTCGTGGGTGAGGCCTTCACTCTGGAGGAGGCTGGTGGAGTGATTGTTTGTGTTCAGTGGAAGCAGGTGGGTAGGTGCCCTAGGCGGGGAACTGGTCTTCCAGGGGCGTATGTGAGGGGCGGGGTGGGGAAAGGCTTGTGCAGAGCACAGGACCCATCTGTACCTGCATCTCTGCCCCTTGCTCTTATCCACTTTCAACCCACTTGATTTTGCTGTCCACCTCTTCTTTGTCCAAATGACCCTGGTGCRTGCCTACTATCCTGGCCAGCTGCTCTGGGTTACCCAAGTCCTCAGCTCCCTGCTAGGGAGCTCCGTGGTCTTGGGCCGAGCTCCTGACGTTGAAGGCCTTATCTCCTCTGGACTTTGTACAGTGGAGATAATTCTACCTGCCTGTGTATCTTGGTTAAGGTGACAATAAAGCGAGGCAGAGTGTGTCAATTGTATTTTAAGGCCCYAGGCCGCTGTGGGCCTCCTGTCTTTGTCTGACTTTGGGAAAACCCTTCCCCAGGTCTCCAGAGATGTTCCTCCAGAGGGAGGGGATGTGTCACCTGCCAGCTGTCAACCTGATGCCATGGAAAATTCATATTGATGAGGCACAGATTGATGGCCTGCTTGCTGCCATCTGCAGACCCACCACCATGGCAGTATTGGAGGTGGCAGGGGTGGGACTCCCTTTTCCTAGCCAGTTCCAATTTGCTTTATAATTGGCTCCAGGATGGTGAGTCTKCGGGGTCAGCCTGCGACCTCTTCCTTCCCAGCAGTCTCCTTCTTTTCCAGACTCGCAGGTGTGCTCACAGCCTGTTCATCAACCCTGGGCCACTTCCTCTTCCCCAGCATCTCCGAGAACTTCCTGTTTACCTCCCAACTTTGTGCCCTGCCTCTCGCCCACGTTGTTCTGCCCTTTCCTGTTGGTACCCTCTCTGCTCTTCATCTGCCGACTGCTCTGCTTTCTTCTTTTGCTGGGGTTTTGAATCACCCCTTAATAGACTTCTCAGTGTGAAGCCTGGGTTTCCATGGTCCAGGCCTCTCCTCAGGTGGCCCCTTGTTCTCTCACTGTCCCTGACTGCTCTCTCCAGGTTCAGTCACGACTGCCTTGCCCTCATCTGACAGCTCTCTTCCCCTCCTGCCATTGCAGGGCATCGGTCCAGCCCTGCCTCTCTGACCACGGGTCCTGGGCCACCCGTGTTGGGGTTGCCCGTGCTCCTGCCTCGCGTCYAGCCTGCAGCTGCTTCAGAGCAGGAGCAGCTGGTTCATCGGAGCCTCCCACTGGGCCTGGCTCAGTGTCCTGTGTGGAGTGAACAAATCTCAAAGAATTCCAAATCCAAAGGGTTCTCATTTGAACTCTTGAACTGAAAAACTGCCCCCCCCGTTTTTAAAATTTTCCCAAACAAATTTCTCATCTGTTTCTTTCCCCAAAGTCCCCTCATTCTCCATTTTTATCCCATAGAACTTCTGACTCTCAAAGTACAGGTTGTGATCTTTTAAAGGGAGCCAGTCACATCCCTGTTTAATAAGCCCAGTGGTTTATAAGTTTACCACAACACAGGCCCTCGCTGCCTCTCTTCTTCTCCTTCCTCCCRAGCATGAACCTCAGGGTGTCAGATAGACGCCTGAAAAAAGCCAGAGGCTGCGGGTGGGAAATGACTTGGTTATGAAGTGGGGCTTTCTGTGGGGATCAGACCTGCATTGTCGTGTGAAGGAGTGTGTGCTTCTTCATCTGCGCTCCTGACCTGGAGCTAAGCTTGCTCCGAAGCTCATCTGCCACCCACGGTTGACTCTTTTGCAAAGAAGTTGCGGGATTTCTTGGGTTTCTGTGGTCACCTTCTCATCATGAGAAATAGTAATAAAAATAATTCCTTACACTTGTCTTTCCTCAACTGATGTTCAAGAGGATTTGCTATGTCCTTGGCACTCTGCCAAAAGTCAGGGACACAATCCATTGGGGGGACATTGTCACCTTCCTCTACGTTYCCTTTGTACCATTCTGAAGGTTGGACACAGAGCAGGTGGTCMAGTCTACATTTTATAGATAAAGAAATGGGAATCCAGAGTGTTTCCAGAGTGCCCAGAAATTTAGAGCCCTTGTGTTATGGTTTGGATGTGAGGTGTCCCCCAAAAGTTCACRTGTGAGATGGTGCAAGAAGGTCCAGAGGAGAAATGATTGGAGTGTGAGCGTCCTTGTGAGAGTCTTAACCCAATCAGTGAATTAATCCCCTGATATGGGTTAACTGAGTGGTTACTGAAGTGGTAGGGAGTGGCTGGAGGAGGTGGGGATTAGGGCGTGGCTTTGGGGTATAGATTTGTATCTGGCAAGTGGAGTCTCTGCTTATTGATCAGCGTGACGTGAGCTGCTCCCCCCTGCCACACATCCGCCACGATGTTCAGCCTCACCTCCAGCCCCGAGGAATGGAGCCGGCCTTTATGGACTAAGACCTCTGAAACCGTGAGCCCTTAGATAAACTCTCCCTCCTCTACAGCTGTTCTGGTCAGATCCTTAGTCACGTAGGGAAAGAGCTGACTAAAACACCCTTTTATGGTCACTCAGCAAGATGGAAGGTGGAGAGCCAGGTGTAACTTCGGTCACATGCTGGGAGCCTCGGCTGGGCCTCTGCACCATTTCCATGAAGAGGTGACAGCCTTTGCTGCTAGAAGACGCCTTTCCTCAGTCGGCTTCCAGCTGACTCGGATCTAAATCCAAGAATTTAAGCTAAAAAGGGAGACTTTGGGGTCTGGTTCTAGATTCCTATCCAGACTTCAGGAGAGGCTGGGAGCTGAGCCAYGGTGGGGTAAGGATCCCTGCAGATGTGACCCAAAGGGGACGGTCAGAACACTCTGCGGTCGTTGGCCGGGGCAGGGGCACTGGGTGACGCGCTCTGATGAGCAGTTTCTCCCAGGAAGTGAGAGAGCCTCACAGCACCAGTTCACCTCCCTCGACCTGCTTCACCCCACCTCAGAGAGTCTCCCTGGGCAGCTGGGGGGCCGCCCTTGAGGGCCTGACCTGCGAATGAGGGAAGGTTTGGGAAGAAGAGAGAGGCGGAAGGTGTTTTCTGGAGATAATAAACTCCTTGGGTAGTGGTGGATTTAAACTTTAAACAGTAATATGAATTCACCACACGCTCCAAATTTAGAAAACACAGATATGTTTAAAGGGAAAAAAGTCTGTAGTTTCACTACTCAGAACTGAATGCTGTTAGCATTCAAATGTACAATCCCCGTTTTCTCAGGCCACTCTTGCTAAAAATGACTTTATAGTACATGCTATTTTAGCTTTTCATTGGTATTGAGGCTAAATACAGACTGTGAGTGCACACATTTTAAGTGGGCAGCTCAGTCCTGTTTTACATATGTCTGGGCCAGTGTGACCACCATCCAGATCAAGGTCTAGAACATTCTCAGCTTCCCAGAGGGCTCTATATGCCCTTCGTCATAGTCCCCCTGCCCTAGAGGGAACCGTTATTCTCATTTCTGTTCCAATATGCTGTCTTAAAATTTGTTTTTTCTACCCAGCAATAAATATCACACCATTTCCATGTCACTCATCCCCATCATTGTCGCCGTCATTACCCTTACTGTCACCATCCTCATCAGTCATAATGGCAGCACAGGACTCTGTGATGTTGACAAACCGCACATTTGCTGGACCTGAAGCCAATGTCTTAGGGACACTTACTGCATTGCCTCCCCCTGTCAGGAGTGCAGGTGTGAGACAGCAGAACAGGCTGCAGGGACAGGGGCTGGCTCACTTAGTATCCYGGATGTGCCTCGGTGTGTTGCCGTGACATCCCTGGGTGTATCTGAATGGGCATCTGACGTCCCAGCCCTTGGTGTGAGGTGTCTGTGGGAGAGCAAGTTCTAGARACTACCTCATTCCATTCCTCAGCTGCCTTCTGAAAAAGCCACTTTTTTTTTCTTTTACCTCAAAAATTGACATTTATTTAAAAAAAAAAGAAAGAAAGAAAGAAAAAAATGACACGATGCCCATCCCTTGGCCCCCTTCCCTCCCCCTTCCAGCTGCTCCTTACTCCCAGGACTGAACCCTGGCTGCAGTTAGGTAGCAGGACAGCCCCTCTCAGATGAGGTCAGCAGCACTGAGGGGCATCTCTTCAATGGAGGTGTTGTAGAAGGTCTCCGTGTCTCAAAGAGTCCTCTGTCTTCTCTGTCACCATGTTAATAGCCACACCCTCATGGCCAGAACGCCCACCTCGACCAGTTCTGTGGATGTAGTTTCCCTGTTGGTGGGGAGGTCATAGTTGATGACTGAAGAAACCTGCTGCACATCAGTGTCTCTGGCCTGGGTCAAGAAGGATGGCCAGTTCAGCCTGTGAATTGAGATATGATCCATCCACAGGGACTTACATGTGCAAGTAGGCAGCCAAAGGAAGGCAAAAGAAATCAAGTATCCTGTGTCTCCCAAAGACCTAGGCATGCGGTCTTCTTCCAAGTTGCTCCTTTCCTGAGAGGCACTAGTGAAAAGGCCACTTTTAAAAGATAAGAGAGGACTTCATTGGACAATTTGAACACCTGAGTTTGAGAGAGGTTCTTTTAAGACGACGTTGGTGAGCAAGGAAAGTAGCTGATTTGATGGCTGGAGTCATTGTGAAGATGACTCCACACATCTCCCAGAAACACCCACCCTGGTGCTGAGCGGCCAAGCCTTAGCAGGATGCTGGCATTGGCCATGCCCATTGAAATGCCCTCTCCTCTTCCCCTTCTTCTGTTTTAGTTTGTGGGGATTTTCCTACCACAAATACTACAACCACCACTCTGATTGCCATGATAGTTTGAGCACGCCAATCTGAAATTCAAAATACAAAACTCTGAGTGCGGACACGAATCTACACGGTGCCTTCTGATGGTTCTTTGTACACGAAGTTTGTTTCATGCACAAAATTATTTAAAATATCGTATAAAACTATCTTCACGCAGTGTGCCTAAGGCAGACATGAAACACGAATGAATCTGGTTYCCATTTGGGTCCCATCCCCAAGATATCTCCTGTATACGTAATTATTTCAAAACTGATAAAAGCCCCCAATCTGAAACACTTCTGGTCCCAAGCATTTTGGATGAGGGATGCTCCACCTGTCCTGCTCTCATTATCATCACTCATGACAGGAAAGTCGCAAAAGTCTCCACTTGTGGTTTATTTGAAAGAGCAGGGGAATACAGAGTCGAGCACTTTGGCTGCGTAGGATGCTTTACCTGTGCACCTTCCTCTATTCCCCACAGCCCTGGAGGCAGCTGCAGTTGCCGTGGGTGCAGGCCGTGGCCATGGGTGCAGGCCATGGTCGATGCAGCCGAGAGCTAAGCAGGCAGAAGGGAGCGTGTGAGAAACGCAGGAGCTGGGGCGCGATCCCCAAGCTTTCTGATCCTGGAGCCTGTTTTTCCCACTCTGCTGGAGCCTTAGTGACCGAGTGGACCAACCAACCTGGCACACTGATGTACTTACTTTCAGAAAGTATGTATTTGGATGATGGTGCCAGAAGGGAACTATTCTTACATTTAAAACCCCCTTTCATGCCCCAATAAAGTGCTCTCACACCTTTGTGTCTTGGAGATCCATGTCRGCAGTGGTGACTCCTATAACCTATAACTCCTATAACTCCAATTACACATTGTCGGTACAATGCACGTGCCAGATTTCCTCAAGGTCGGTTTGGGCCTTGGGCACRTGGGTATGACGTTGGTTTGCTCTTTAGGATAACATTACTGTGGTCCAAAGAGACAAGTGTCCTAGGGAAGACAGAACTGTCTCTCTCAAGRCAGCCTGTACCATGGCTCTGTTGTCGGAGCCCAGCGAACTTTCCATTTCTCTGGCCCCCACCATCCCAAGAAGGAGGCTTTGTGCTTTGTGGACCCGTGTGTGGCTGGAAGGGAGACAGGAAGAAGAGTGTTCCTCCCTTTAAGGGAATCCGGAGTCCCACAGGACACTTCTGCCTCCATTCCGTGGTCCAGTGCTTTGTGTGAATGTCGGACCCTCATGGGATCCATCTGGTAGGGCCTCGTCGTGAGGTCAGGGGAGCTAATGTGAGGGAAGTGCCCAGAACAGTGCCGCCATCAGTGTTGGCTAATGCTGCCATGGTCGTATCTGGGTTCTGAGCCCATCCGATTGGGCAGGCCTTTCAATTATTTCAGGCTTTGTGCCCTGTCACCTGGTGTGGACAGCAGCTGGCGCTGGTGATGTCCATGAAGAAGATGCTGATGATGGGGCCGATGTTGATGTCTTAGTAAGTGATGGCCACGTGCTGATCACTAGGCTGACACCTGGTTGGCACAGTCTCATGTAATCATTGATATAGGTATGGGCATGGCCCCCGTCTTACAGATGGAAGGTCTAGGCTCAGCAAGAGACGGATTGAYTTGCTCAAGATCACTCAGAAGTGAGGGCGGGGGTTGGGACCCAGGGTCTCACTTGGCTTGTCCTCTGCTACTGTATCCTTCCAGCATTCTGCCTCTGAGTTTCCTCTCCTATTCGAATGGTCAGCTCGGTCATGTACTGAGTAGTGCCTTTTTTTTTTCTTGCAAATGACATAATTTTATTTTATTTTATGGTTGAGTAAAACTCCATTTTGTATGTATACCACATTTTCTTTATCCATTCATCCATTGATGGACATCTAGACTGGTTCCACWGTTYGGCGATTGTGAATTTGCTGYTAATAAAACATGGGTATGAATGTATCACTACAGTACGGTGACTTTAATTCTTTAGGATGGATGCTGGGGAGTGGTAGAGCTATTTTGATGCTACTCTTGATGACAATCTTAATTATCATTGAACTTTTTTACTGAAAGAGAAGTACTCATCCTTTGACTTTACCTGTGTCAGTCATACCTGGGTTTAATGCCAGGGGTGTTTTTGTCAGGGTATCAAAAACATGCAGACAAGTAAACCCAACCACCCGTTTTATTGCCATTTAAACACTGTCCTGGAGAACAGTGGGGACGGAGACAGTGGTGGGGGTGGATGAATGGACTGTCAAGGAAAAACGAGTAAAACTGGGCCCCGTATTGGCTTGCAGTCCRCTGGTGATTTGTAGCCAGTGAGGTTTTCTCCCTCTTCCTGGAAGGCCATAATTTACTCGGGTCACCCCTGAGAGCCATTTACTAACATAATCAACCCATTTGCACAGTTATTGGCCAGAGAAACAGCCCCGATGATAGAATCCCCGCCTTAAGTGGTTACCATTTAGTTTGTCCTCTGAAAACTCCAGTGGTTTCAATCATCCCCCRTGTCCCGGAAGAATCTCTGCTGACTTTTTCCTGTGGGCTGGCTTCGGAACTCACGGTTCTTGTTGAGGAAAATTTGTCACTCATCAGTGACGCCTGGAGATGGCAGGAAAAAACGTAAGCACGAGGAAGACGCAGTGCAGGAGCTAATTAGCAGTGCTCAGGAAAATATGAGCAGGGGTAGACGGAGCTTCAGCTGGGGACACCTGTAGGTGACAATTTGGGGCCCAAGTGGCCCTTTAGTACTTTCTCTGAGGTTTTTCTTCATCCAGGGAGAAGGACTGTAATGATCGTGACTGGTTGAAAGCTTGGCAGGTGGTGGTCAGAGGCCTGCTTACTTGGGGATGAAGTGGTGGTGGATGTTCATGGCTGATTTCAAGATCTCAAGCCTGCAGATGCCTGCCACTTGGGGCAGACTGGGATGGGACACCTCCTTGCCTRTTGGAGGATTTGTACCCGAGACTGGAGTGTCAGAGGGTGGACACTGGGGCTGTTCCCACACATCGTCCCCTCCGGTTGACTCTGTCTCCAGTGCTCTGGCCTCAGGGGACTGGTCACTCCAGCAGGGGATAGTGTTCACCAGAAAAGCAAGACCTCTCCACAAGCAGGAGTGGAGATGATTTTCKTCTTGAATGGGACAAAAGCTGTTCTTTTGATTTCTGTGTTAAGATTGGTGCCTTTGGAGTCTATTGAGTGGTTCTTTTAGGTGCCCTCTTTTATGGAACCCTACGGCCTCCTGTGAGGGGATGTGGGGCTGTGGTRGAAATGGTATGGAACAAGCCTGGGTTCAAATCCCACCTTTATCTCTTATCAGCTGCAGGAATCTGTTGTCATTATCTTTACTTGYTTTTAAAAATCTCTTAGAGGCTTAAAATTTATAAAAGGGGACAGTAATCTCTCCTTTTGGAATGGCCWTGGGGATTAATGATTGGTTCATCTGAAGCACTGGGTCCAAAATMATGATTATTTATAATATTATTATTTATTATAGAAGAGAAAAGAGAGTCACAGAGTGGGTGAGGGGCYCCTTCTGGTCCCCTTGGTATGCAATGGCTGTGAGACCCACACTCCACATCCCAGGTGCCACGTTTTGTCTGGGTCTCCTGGGTGCCKTCCCATCTGGCCCAAGGGCAGCCAGGAACTGGTTTTAGTTCTGCCCCTGCCACTCCATGGCCCTCTGGGTGCCTCCCCTGCAAAGCAGAAGCAACATACCCTTCCCCTCCGCCTCCCAGTGTTTGGAAGACGAGCCACAGGAGTTTCACATTTAAAGTCAGTCTGACCAAAATATCGTGTACACCTTACCAACACTTTACCAATATCCTGCCTGCAAAAAGAGCCCTCTGCTAYTGAGTGGAATTGTTATTCCAGAAGGTGGTAACCAGCTGTCCATCACCCACTCCACATGGGACTGTTAGGCTCAGCATGTAACTGAAGTGTATCCGCATATCCCAGCCCCCCCCCACAGCCCAGCTGGAAGTGGGGGACCCTTGACTGTGGCTCATTTGCAAGCTCTAGCTTGAACACATGGTCTCTTGTGCAAAGCAGAACCAGGGTCCCACTGTCAACATCTTGGCCTGAGCTTGAGGCAGGGGACTGGGGACACAGCAACTTCATGGTGGGCAAGCAGTGACTTAAAACAATCTATGCCATCTTTGGCGAAGGAGAGGGGGTCCCTTGGCCCGTTTATGGGCAATGGAAGGAGAGCAATCCTCTTTCTCATGTTTTCTCTTCATCTCATGGGCCCAGAAGCACAGGGCATGCTTGTTGGAGAGCATAGGGGCTAAGAAGATGAGAAGGGGGATAGGAAGAGAGATATTCAGATGAAGCTTGGTTATTCAAGACTTCAGTTACCCAAGACTGTCAGGAATTTCACATAGCCCCCAGCTACTGCAGTTCACATTATAAACTCTTCCAATTACCTGAAATCTCACTTAACTTAAATTCCAGCACATCCCCTGGGGCATTCAAATAATCAAAGTTTGCCTGTCGAAAGTAATGTGGAGAGGGAAAAATGGGTTGGTGAGTCTGAGAAAGGTAGATCATAAAAAAATTCATCTTAGAGAATGGCATCAGAATCATTAACCACCAACTTGAAATTGCTGAAATGTTATCTGAAAATTACGGAGGCCAACACAGATTTAGAAGAGGGCAGTGCAGGGCATGCCCACCTGACCATGGAAAGAGGCCAGGGCTGTGGGCAGGAGATTAGATAAAACCAGCAACGGAGGCGGACCTGCCTGGCCTTTTACTCTGTACACACCCAAACTGGTGTCTGGAGAA